TGGGATTGGGAGGGGAAGGTGGAGCGGTGGGGGGGGGCGAGGATGAGGATGGGAGGTGGAGGGCCATGGTCGGTTGAGTGATTTCACAAATTGTTTTTTGGACGCACAAGAGGTAATTATGTAGACGAATTCAAACCGCCTCTGCGGTGAATAGGATACGATTTTTAATCGGCTTTGATCTGCGACCTCGAATTAAAACAAGCCAAGAACTATATCTATATTTATTATAATTCAAACCAAACAACAGAGTGGCGAACAAACTCGTTTTCAGTATTCGTATTCTTTCTAATGCATCAAAATAAAAATCACTTATACGACTACAACCACTACTGAAAAATGTATGACAGAAAAACATTCGATCGCTGCATGTTAGCCCATTGTTCACAAATGCTCACATCGGTGAAACGATTGAATACCTGTGCGGTTATGTGCAAACTAATAATATAGAGCTAGGCCTTCATGCGAATGACCTAAAACAACTGCTTTACTTCTGCACGCAAAAGTTCACCTCACGTTTAATTATGAAATCTATCGGAGAAAGGATGACCGGTGATGGGGTCTCCACGGGGACCGATTTTCGCGGACTTTCATCATTGCAAACTTGAAAATACACAATTACAGTCATTCATTGAAGACTGTGTACAGTACGTAGCTGACATTTTCTGTGGGATCAACTTAACAAAATCGAACACAACGGAACCTATAAACAGGCTCAATACTGTATTTACTTTAGTAACAATAAATTTCCGTTTCTGGATGTCTGTATCACTCGTCAGTCAGATAGTTCGGTGCACAGAAAGACCGATACATCCCATTCTGAAGTTTTCTACCGCTTAAGGTAAAAAGGAAACTGGTTTGTTGCTAAGCGGACAGGACAAGCATGATCTGCAGTGAGGACACACTAGAAGAATAGCCCCAAACTATAAAATCAATATTTGCACGTAACGAGCATCCGGAGCGTTTAGTTCACAAGATGAATCAGTGCAAGGAACAGTCTTTACAAAGCACCGAAATTAAGAGAAAAACCGTGTACATTTATTTGCCGTTCACAGGGGACACATCAGCTGAGATAATACAAAGAAGATTACCGGACGCAATTGATAAAACTTTCTATGCATCCAAGCTTTGCGTGCTGTTTACGCCCAAGCCAATTGTGTGCCTGCGACTGAATGACAAAGTTCCAGACTCTGCGGTCTCATTCTGTGTATATTCATTCACATGTTCTTGTGGAACAACGTGCATAAGCCGAACGGTCAGGCGAACGGATTCGTGAACACCGGAATGATTAAATCACTCACCAGTGCAGTGGTTTCACACCTAGCTGAAACAAATCACACTGTGGACGTGTTCTAGGATTCCCGACCCCTGTATGAAGTTTGTGGGCGATTATCGAGGCAGATTCACTGTCTGATGCTGGCCATAGCAGAAGCGGTGAATGTTCGTCTGCACGACCCCCCTCTGTGTGCCCAAAAACAACTTGTGCAAGCGCTAAAGCCTCCCTGGCCCACCCACCCCCACACACACGCACACACACACACCGTATCACGAGTAATTTCGATGATCGGATGAGTGGACAACTAGGTTGATTGATTTGACTGACTATCCTTCGGACTTCATCTTCACGCACAATCTTCAGTACATCGATTCAACCGTACACTCGGAGTGTGTGTGTTGTTAATCACTACTCAAAATTCATGTACCAGTACGTATTTTTTCGTTTTTATTTTTTGTTTGTTTTAATCGTTCATCTTTTCTACTCTCCTGAAGAAAGATTGATTCGACGTAAGCTGACCGTCCTTAGCCGAGTCTGTATGATCGTCATTTAAATGCATGTGAATAGTTTACCCTTAACGCTCTTATGGAACCCATTTTGTCACTCCACTGCACATAGAATTGACTTCCTGTCGTTCCCATCAGTCTACTACTAGATCCCAATACCATTTTTAGCCCTCACGAGTAAGCATGTATCGTAACTCTACCGTACCCTCACTAACATGTATTTTGGTGAACAAAAATTAGACTTGCGTCGATTCCAGCCTGCAAGATGATGTATACCCTGAAGCGACCCGTTACAGTTTTAGGATAACTGTGCTCAATCAAGCTTCACAGGTGACGTCAGCTTCTGGACTACATACCATAGGTCGAGTGTGCCAGCCAATCAAAGACCGTGCGGCCCAGATAGAAGCGGAACAACGGCAGAAATACTAGAACGCGATTGGCAAAGGCCCGGATGACCAATGAGCTTGTTTTGCACATATTATTTAATCCCTCTTCTTTTTTTCAATAAACGAACTGCTATCCGTGTGGTCTTTTCCGCGCGAGCCTCAGTATTGCGTGCAAGTACCAGTGTGATCCAGTGCTTACGTGACGTCCGTGCCTGCTAATCAGCGATTCGTATTTCGCGGTCATTGCATACCACTACTACTATTACAATTACTACAACCTTCCTTCATGTTTCAAACTTGACTACTTTTGCTGTCTCACTAACGTTCCCTTTTTTAATTGTAATGTTGGCATCACGATTGGGAGATGCTATTTCAGTGGTATTTAAATGTGTGCAGTTGTGGGTTCATATTGAGCTAGTCCGTTGAATCGATTGAGTCACAATCACGATGAATGGTAAACAAGACAGGCAGTCGAGAACATCAACAGTAAAAGGTCTTTTCAAGTTAGCTACGGTCGAAATCGAAGAGGCACCATTATATAGGGGTTGATATTTCTTGTTAATAAAATGTGATTAATGGTTGTGTGTGTGTCAGTAGGGAAATCAGCCGCCGTATCTCAAATGGTAAACCGTGATCGTATAACTGACAGGCACATTCGCACACATACACACACACACACACACGCACACACCGAATGGTCTGTGCATGTGGAGAGCAAAATGTGGATCACTGTGTTTGACGATTCGTCGCTTGTGTAGACCAAGTCACGGTTGTCAGTCTTAGCGAACAGGGACAAAACGCATTTGATTTAGCTTAACACAAGCATACGAAGAATCCATGGGTCTCAGACCGGTAAAGTGAAGACCCGGTCGCTTCAACTGGGTGGTTTGTGATGTATAACATGACGCTGATGATGGTGGTCCAATAGTCGGAACGAGTTTTCCAAGTGTTTTCTGCATTGATAATCCGGTGTATTTCATCATGGTAACCAGACCAAAGACAGAGGAATTATTCCTAGCCGGATGGTGCAGCTGTACGCTATTTGAGGGAAGTGGGAACTTGGCTTGATAAAATATTACCATAAAAATAGATTGATGGACGAGGACCTGGCGGCTTAGATCTCAGATTTGACCTCGTTAATTTTTTTTTCTCATGGAACCGATTGAACTTGTTTGTGCAAAATCGTCAGCCACATTCCGTAAACAAATTGAAAGAGAATACCAGAAAATACCAGAAAACATCCCTCTAAAAGAAGCCAAGCAGGTTTATATGGATCCAAACAGCTAAGTGAAGTACTTTGAACATTTGATGTAGCCCCTAATGAATGTTCGTAATTCAATGACCAGTTGACCATTCTTTTTTCCAAAAAAATGAAAAGATTTCAATTACACATGCTTCATTTAATACGCCACCTTTATCATCGTAATTTCATGCAAAATAACAGAAGAGATATAAGAATTATTCATGGTCGACTTTCCGTAATTCACGAATAGACCGGGTAACCGGACGTGAGTTGATCAAGCCTTGAGGAGACAAACGGGACCAAGGAGACTGAAACGCACGAATCAGTCTGGTTTTTAGTTACGCGTGATTTGGCATGGAAAGATGAATATCTTTTACTTCCTTTCTTTGTTTTTATTGAGTATTCAAATGAACTGCAAACTTTCAGCAAGGAGGCCACAGTTATTACAAAGTCTGATTGTGAAGATACGGAGTTGGGGAAAAATGATAGAACAGATCTTGCCCTGACTCAGCAAACACACACACACACACTACCGAAGATATATGCGGAAAATAGCAAACCACGAAGGTTGGAATTGTTTAACAAAGCACATCACTGGACTTCACTGCACAGATTAAACCGGACAAAATATTTACATTTCTGGATGTGGCTGTGTCCAGAAGAGGTGTATCAGTCAGAAC